AGCTTCGCATATCTGACTTATCCATACTATATGAATTCGTGGCTACCCCCGCTCCTTGCTCGTGAGACACTACTGTCTCGCAGTGGTTACTAGCACTTGATCTTTCCGTAGGCCTTAATGTAGCCACACTATTACCCTTGCGTCAACAAACTCTGTTCCGCGTCTGTGACCACATTAACCACAAGTTTTCTGTGTGCTCCGGTTCTCTTGGTCTGCCTACAGCAGGGACTTTCCTTAGTGACCACGTTATCCCCTTATTTTCTTTCCTCTATCACTCTCCCTCTTTTTCCGACTCTAGGCTACACCATTTCTGCTTTCAGCTCTGCTAGGTCACCCCACCAAGCCCTTTCGCTTGCATTCCACCCAAATGCGCCAAAGTACGAGCTCAAAAGCTCAGGCCGAAGCTGCCACGTATTCAGCCCCTCATCTCCCCTCACTCCTCCCCTCGTTTCCTCTTTGTCCTCCAATAGCGTTCTTGTCAAATTCAGATTACGCTATGTAAACGGTTCATGCGTGTAGCACTGCCTCCTCCTTAGATGGAATGGTCTCCGTTCCTTCCACTGGAGCCAACAAAATCTGCGCAAATACTTCCTTTCGCCATGTAACACACCACTTGATCGTGGTTGACTTGTCAGGAGCTTACACTTTCCCCCTACTCTTGATCAGCCACTTTTGTCGCTCCTTCCACCAGCCCAACAAAGCCCTCCGCATTCTCTCAATCCTGATTTCCTCCCATAGCCACTTTTCTCGTCCTAAAGTGTTTCTCGCCTTGTCTCTGCCAGCCACGACCAATTTTGTAAAGCATACTTCACTATCTCTCTCATCATGCATGCATCCTCAAAGAAGACTTGTTTCCTGTAATAGCTATGCAATTTCCCCAGTACAAACACCTCTCAGTCCCTCGACCAAACATGCCTGTACTTGGCCCCACCATCTGCGACAATGAGTACTTATATAACATGGCTATGCCCTATGTAACTCCTCTAGGTCTTTCTCTAACATATAATCCTTGAACCTTGTGGGGGGTTTGCGGGCTCGAGGTTGTCTGGGTGACTGTGGTAGTGGGCACTTCTCCTTTGGGTCCTCTCTTCCTTAATGCAGGGGCTTTCATTATTTGATTGGTAATTCCTCTTCCTCTCCACTTGCTACACCACCTTCACTCGTACTCTCTCTTTCATTATTTAGTGTAACTGGTTCTTCCATCATCCTGTGGTGTTACCTTTTCCATGAGGCTTTCTCTTCTGCCATGCCATGTGTACTCTCCAGCTTCATGATATTCGGTTAAGCTATGAGAATGTACCAGCTTGCTCTTGTGTTTCCCCCATTGGCGGATCCATACGTTCACCTCATTCAGTACCTCTACCACCTCGTAAGATCCTTCCCAGTCACTCTGTAACTTAGGTGAGAGCCCTTTCTTCCTTCTTAGGTTATGCAGCCAAACCCGGTCTCCTAACTAGAAGGATACATCCCTTGCTCCCAGGTCATGCCAATTAGTAAAACAAAGGGGGGGGGGGGCATACAGAGTCAAGTGAGGGTAACTGCCCCCACCCAGCCAAATGACGCTCCTGTCAGATCGAGCACTTTTTCCAACCACTTTCGTCGTCATATCATATTGTTAAGTCAGAAAGAGTAAACATACTTTTTTAAGTGAGTGTATGCCGATAATTGTGCATTTTGGCATTCCAGCAGCATTCCAGGGGTTTTAAGTTTCCCATAAGAAAGACTATTGGGGTATTTTTTCACAAAGGAGGAAGCTGAACATCAGGTTAACTCTAGACAATCACCCAATATCCATTCAAAATTCTGCTAGACTTCCGGGTCTACTCTTTGATTGTAGACTCATTGGAAAAACTGTATTGGTAAATCAAAGAATAGATGCCAAACAACACTAAATTTATTAAATTGAACATCTGATAATAAATGAGGAGCTGATAGAAAGTCTTTGCTAATGATATGTATAGTCCTGATTAGGTCTAAAGTAGATTATGCATCAGTTGTGTATGGCTTGGCATCGAGCTCAATTTTGAAAGGTTTGCATACTGTGCAAAATACGGATCAAGAGTCTAGAGGTGGAGATAGGAGTATTTCCCATCCGACTCTGACGCAGCCAGCAGGCGCTGATTTATTCCGCCAAAATAGCCAGAGATCCAAGTCACCCTAACAGGAATGCTTTGCTTCGGCATTTACACCCGGAGTGCCATGACCTCGCTGAGAAAGTCGGTACAGATCTCTTTACTTTCATGCCCTGGTTAATTCAAATATAGCGCCATGGGAAACTCCCAGATTTACCATCGTGGATGCTTGGTTTCCATCACCCAAGGCCATGGTGCCGGAAGTGGAGGTACGCCTGAGGTTTAGAATGATCCTTATTATTTTTTCCCTCTTTGTTATATATACCGCGGGTCCAAAACACATGAGTGTGTGTGTGTGTGAGGGTGTATGATCCACTGAATACCTAGTGAGATCCAGACTGCCGAATCATCCATCGATTTTTATTGCCGATTTTTTTGCAATTACTAACCTTTAGATTTTGCACTAACGACGACCCATGGTAGAATATTTTTTTCTGATTTGTTACATTCACTTAAAGCCATCAAATCATTAGAAACCACTAAAAATGAACTGCTGGATAATATTCGTCAGCTACACAGTGCCAATTAATCAGCTAATGTGTGTACCATACCACTCTGGTATCCATGGCAATGAGCAGGCTGAAAAATTAGCTAGGTCAACCAGCGATCTGGACCCTAGCATAGCCTGTACAGATCTCAGGTGTTTTTTGTTTTTTTTTATAATAGCAAAAAACTAAGGCAATGTGAGCGGAACAACCTACAATTAAACAACAAAAACGAAACCGTAATAGAGGAATGGGACACAGCCCACAGATAAAATAGAAGAGATGAACAATCTACCTCAATCTATACATTATCCATTCTGTACCAATCACCTTACAATAGCCTACCACTTGAAACACTATTCCAACAATAACAGACAAAACCTCAAAAGTTTCCTATGAATAAAAAAAATCTCGATTTTGCACTATCAAAGGCGATGGTAGACGATGAAAAAAGTCGTAAAGTAAATCACTAAAGGAGGCAAAACTTGTAACCTTGGCCACATGCCACTGGTGGATAGCAAAAAAAAAAAATAATAATGATAAAAAAAAAAAATAATAAATAAAAATATGGCAATCTCAGCTTAGAAAGACACCAACAACATTCTCCGTTTTCACACATGAAGACGATAATACAGACAACCCTTAACCTTCAAATGTCTAACGCATTTGTTTCCTGAAACCATTAACTTTACCCTTCGCTCTACGTATTGTCAATATCCTTACAGACTGACAACACTTCCGTTGCTGTGACACAGCAAATCATAACCCATAATGGCATTGTCTGACGTTTAGACAGACAACACTAAAATAGTTGATTCCATATTGCTCAACTTTGCCAAAGCCTTCAGCAAAGGTCCCCACAGCAGACACTCAAATTACTTTATTACAGGATGATAGGGCCAATAATTTTTTTTTAAGGGTGCAGGAGTAAAAAAAGGTTGGGAACCGCTGTTATTTTGGCATATTGTATTTTGTATGCTGGCATATTACAGGTTCAAACCCATAAATATATGCCTTCTGTCTGTTTCAAGAAAATACACACTCCACCTCGGGCATGACCACGCTAACCAAATTGACAGCCCTTGAAACTTGGTATGATCAATTTCTATATACTTACAATTTACGCTCTAGCTTCGTTTACCCCCTTCTAGCCGCCTCTCACTTTATAACAGCGATTCCCAACCTTTTTTTACTCCTGCACCCTTGTTTCCTGAAACCATTAACTTTACCCTTCGCTCTACGTATTGTCAATATCAAATAAATGTTGGGAAACCGCTGTTCCTTTTGGCATATTTTATTTGTATGCTGGCATATACAGTTCAACCATAAATATATGCCTTCTGTCTGTCTTCAGAAAATACACATCAACTCGGGCCGGACCACGCTAACCAAATTGACAGCCCTTGAACTGGTATGATCAATCTATATACTTACAATTACGCTATAGCTTCGTTTAACCCCATTTCTAGCGCCTCTCACTTTATTAACAGCGATTCCCCACCTCCCTTTTTTTACTCCTGCACCCTTGTTTCCTGAAACCAAACTTCCGTTTGCTGTGACACAGCAAATCATAACCCATAATGGCATTGTCTGACGTTTAGACAGACAACACTAAAATAGTTGATTCCATATTGCTCAACTTTGCCAAAGCCTTCAGCAAAGGTCCCCACAGCAGACACTCAAATTACTTTATTACAGGATGATAGGGCCAATAATTTTTTTTTAAGGGTGCAGGAGTAAAAAAAGGTTGGGAACCGCTGTTATTTTGGCATATTGTATTTTGTATGCTGGCATATTACAGGTTCAAACCCATAAATATATGCCTTCTGTCTGTTTCAAGAAAATACACACTCCACCTCGGGCATGACCACGCTAACCAAATTGAAAGCCCTTGAAACTTGGTATGATCAATTTCTATATACTTACAATTTACGCTCTAGCTTCGTTTACCCCCTTGTAGCCGCCTCTCACTTTATAACAGCGGTTCCCAACCTTTTTTTACTCCTGCACCCTTAAAAAAAAATTATCTGACCTCGCACCCCCTATATTTTATACTTTGTTCAAGGATAAAAGATGTGGAATAATACAAAATTTTATTTAAAAAAAAAATCACCTTTAATATATATATATTTTTTTTTAATCAGACTTTTAAACAAGAAACATCACAGATTAATATTTGAATAAAATTTACGAAAATAATAACTTGTTTGAAATATATGTAAAATAGTAAAATCAAAAACTAGTTTCGAAGCGCTTAGAAAGGAGTTTGATTGTTTAATATGTAAAAAAATCAAACATATGGACTAGAAAGGATGTCCAGATTAACATTTTGAATACACCTGACAAAAACTGACTTCCAAAAAGTTTGCTTATCCATTTCAGT